TTCGGTGGGGGCGGTGTGGGTCTCAGGCGCCTCAAAAAACAAAAATCCTCCCCTGGCCGCCAGTGCTTCGCTCCCCCAGCCCTGCCGCTTGAGACGAGAAGCCACAGGGCATATCAGCGTATAACACACAGCTAGGATTTCAGCCCCAAATTTTAGGGAAAAAAGTGCGTGTTATTGCCGATAAATACGATACATCAATATATACCAAGCTCCCTGTCCCACTTTTTTGGGGGGAGGGGGAGTGTCTCCAAGCCTCAAATGTTGCCCATCCCTAAATTTTTAAGCATTCTTCCCCATTTCTGGGCATAGAAGATTTTTTTTTTTTAATGCCTTCAAGTCATTGTTGACTCCTGGACTAGTCCCTGCAGTTTTTTTTAAAGAATTTTATTGAAGATTATATAAAACAGATTAATGCAAAAACCAAATACAAAAACACATTAAAAAAATAATAGTGCAGTTTTCTTGGCAATATTTCGGAAGTGGTTTGCCACTGCCTCCTTCCTAGGGCTGAGAGCGCGCGACTGGCCCAAGGTCACCCAGCTGGCTTTGTGCCTAAGGGAGAACTAGAACTAAGTCTGGTTTCTAGCCTGATGCCTTAACCACTCCACCAAACTGGCTCTCTAGAAGAAATGTACATATTGGCTATGTTTCCTGGATTAAATAGTATTAAATAGTCCTAAATAAGTAATATCAGTTTTTCTCAGAGAACAGAATAAATATGCATCATATAAAAAAGGGGAATAAAATGCTATTATAACATCCCCAAATAAACAAAACTTCACATAATATACAGAGAATGACAATGAAAAATTTGGTTTTGTGACATGCCAATCCCTATTCATTGGTGCAGCAGATCAAACTCTTCTGATTCTTTCTTCCTTGCACAATCACAGCTAATATATCAGAATGAATATTAACTAGTAATAATTGCTTGTGTTGTCTGAACAATAATATATCTCCCAAAAGTGAAGTCTATAGCACTGATCTAAGGTGGAATTTTAATTTTAAAAAGTGTAATGGGAAAAATCAGAGAAATAGGATTTCTTAATTTCTTGTTCACACATTATTCCCATGTCTCATTTGCTATCTGTTACTAGACTTTGCCTTTCTACAGCAAACAGGAATCCACCAGAAAGGCAAATGATTGGGCTCACAGGACATAAGTTGAGTTCAATTCTCTAATGAAATCCATTAAATTATAATTGAATACATACTTTCCAGTTTAAATGCAGGTGAAAATGAGAATAGTTCTGGAGAATAAAAATCCCCCCCAACCGTAACTTTACTGTGAATCTCTTATTCATTGTTCACCCATGGATTCCTCCACATAATATACTAAAACCTAATGTGGTTTGTGGGAAGCCAGCCAATGTGGTATCAAACCTTAACCATATGACTTAGCATTATAACTGAACCAGGCTATTAGGACTTATTCAATTAACTACTGTGAAAACTAGTCAGGGTTTATGTGATGCTCTCCATGAAACAAATTCTAAACTCTAGAATTTCCTCTAATAACGAACCTGGGAAATCTGCCTCTGGGATTGGACAAGCTATGTTATTTCTTTTCATAGCAAACACATCTGGTAAAGCCAGATGTATCAAACTGTGTAGGTCTAGCAGTAGAGTGAATGAGTAGTTTCACCCTAAAATTAAATGTAAACTATTCCCTAGCTTTGGACACCAAACAGCATGAAAAGCTATCCAAGGTTTATTTATTTATTTATTTATTTTATTTTATTAAAATTTTCAACCGCCCATCTCCCCCCAATGTGGGAACTCTGGGCGATTCACAACAAACATTAAAA